GACAGATGTACTTAACATAACATAACATAATTTAACTTAACATAGCAAAGCATATTGTAATAACATTATATTCTTCTGTAAAGAGTTATTAAAAAACTGATTGTTCACCACATAATCCTATTCTTGCATATATATGTAATAGCTATCTTCATTCTATAACTTAATTATAATAAAAATTCTTAACAATTTTAATTGATTTGTTCGGCAAATGATTGATATTAATTTTTTCATAAAATAATTTTCTTTATGTGCTGAAAAATATTTTAATTGTTAACCTCCAAATACAATAGCAACGCATTATAAAGAATATTTTCATTAAAATGGACGAGAAAGAATTTTGACGTTCACCTTGAAACACACAAAAGAAGACGAAAATCATTATAGCACATATTTATGAAAATCTTTTGACGCCATTACAAATAAAAATTGATAGAAAATCATATATATAAATATACATATACATTTATATATATAAATACAAATATATATTTACACATACAAACATATATAATATATATGCATATATATAAATGTACATGTTTATATGTATTGTATACAAATAATTTTATTTAGTATATATATTAAACCCACTGACAACGTTTGATGAAGCAAAATGAAGGCGGCAAAAGACTGCGTCACTAACAAATTTTTGAATGGTTTTTAATGAAACGTAGTATATAAAATTCAAAATTTTTAGAAGTGAAATTATATTATATTGCGTGTTGAAAAGTGAACGGCGATAATATTCACCTTTGAATCAATGACTATCTACAAAATATTTATAACACAAATCTCATATTAAAAATATAACCATTTAAAATTATATATGTATAAGTTGTTTTCTTTTTTTTTGTAATAGGTCGGATAGGATTTTATATTCATGAGATTTTAAATGTTAAGCCATCAATAAAAAATTAGCACAGGGATGTTATAATAACTTCATTTTTATTTTTAAATGTTGACGTACGGGTAATAAATGATAATAATCAATTTTAATAAAGTTTATGACTGTAAAGGTGTAGTCAATATATATTGTTGCTCTACACAAATGAATTAAATGGTAATGGTAAATAAGTTTCACATGAAATATTTAAAGTAAATTCTAATCAAGCTTTCATAGATAACAGTTTTATAGTTTTCATATACAACAAAAATAAAGAAAGATTTTTATTTGACTTTTTATAAAAAAATGTGTGTTTTAAGTTACTTGTAGTACAAATCTTAATAAAACAGCTATTTCAAAATTTGAAGGAAATGACCTTTCATTCCAATATTATTGAAATATTTATATTGTGAAAATAGATGTGTTACTCGATTTTGATTTATTATATGTACACGTAGCTATATAAATAATTATCACATAAAGCATATATGTGTGATGTATTGTATATTTCTTAAAACAATTGCAGACAATTTAGATTATCGTTTTTGTCTTATTGAAATTTCTAACTTCCGCATTTTCTTGACTAAACACAAATATTTTTAATAAAATTGTTGTTATTGTTGTTGGATTCTATAAAAAAAATTTTTCACACATGTTGCTTATTGGGCACGTTGGCGTATGAGCAACATAATTTCTGCCTCAACATGCGACTACTAAACATTAAAAAATAAAATTAAAATAAATTTAACAACTATTAAATTTAATTAGTTTACAAAATATTTAAAATATTTCGATATATAAATATAAAAATTCAGGTTTTTAAATATTTAATATTAGTATATATTTTTTAAAATAATTTTTTAATAATAATTTATAAATACTTTTAATATTAAATGTGAAAGAAAAATACTCTAGTTAGGTTAGATCAGGTTACGGTATAAGTTCAGATTGCTTTGATATCATCTGAATGAAAGTTTTAAATGCTTCAAAAAGAGTTCTTGTAGCTCTTTCATTAATTATTTTATCCAAATTTTAATTTTTTCCAAATATAAGCTTATTTTTTTGCGAAATGTGTTATCAGTTCTTAAACTATATAATATGAAGTTCATATATATGAATATGTTAGATAAAAACTTAACTAAATATCAACTTGAATCAATTCTGGGCGTTGCTAGACTGAAAAAGGGTGTCGGGTGTAGTGAACTTAATTTGCTACCAACAAATAAAATAAAATATAAACAGACGGAATGAAATATATATGTAAAACTGTTAAAAGGATACCAAAACGTATTTTATTGTGTGAAAATAATTTCAACATTTAAGCTTTTCCGTTGAGCTGCATTGAGGATTCCTGCTCAAAGCCAGGAAATGGCAGTTGCCCGCTGTCAACTGCTAAAAAGTTTAAAAAAGGATTAATTTAGTCCAATTTTGGAGAATAAAATTTGTTGTTATTATATGAACGAACTGTTAGCAATCAAATTAACTAGAAATAAGCTTAAATTACTAACAATTGTGAATAAGTTTTCATTTTCAATATATTTTATAATAATTTAGGGGTGAATCACAACGAATTGTTGTTAACAAAAATAGGATTTCTATATAGAAAAGAAAAGAAGTGCGAAACTTGATTTTGTGAGCAAATATCCGGCATCTATTTTATTGCCTTTATGTTTGGGTTAAAGAAAGATTACGAAAAATATAAAACGAAAACAGATATGTTAAACGGAACATATATAAAAGAGTTTTCAATTTAATACTGGGAATAAATAAATTTAATAAGATTTAAAATAAATAAATAAATTTGTAAATAAAAGTAGAAGTTTTTAAAAGTTAAATCTAATTTTCGGAAAAAAAAATTTAAGCAAGATACTAATAGTTCAAATATTTTTAATGCTACATCAAAAAATAAACAATTAAGTAATAATTATTTTGTTTGTATATAAAAGTAATACAAAGATTATAATATACTCGTATAAAAATTATATTAAATATTATTCAGTTTATCTTACTTTAAGCAATCATTGATTTCTATTACATTTTAATTATGTGCTAATGATGTTATTTTATCTAATGTATTTTATTTCTTTTACTTTTATTCTTTAAATGTTATTATATTATTTCAGTATTGTTTATTTGTGATTTTGTGTAGAACTTCCGTTGTGTTTCCTAAAATGCCCTTGATAATAAAATTTGGGTAGCACGTGACTCGACATCTTAATGATTCACTCTAAATAAATAAGTAATTTAATCAGAAAGGGGTTGAAATATTTGCACTTTCTTCTTAAAATTTAATGAATATTCTTGCGAAAGTAACTTGAGAATTTGTGAAATTTTCGTAGAAAACAATGGAGCACACATTAAAATTTTACAATTCTTACAATTTTTAATTTCTGTTATTTTTTCACACTTCGGCTGTTGAAAATTTATTAGGAATTTTTTATACAAACTATTATTTCAATTACCAGATAATTTTTAGAAAGACTGGATGGCTTAGTCATTCACAAAACTTAAACTAGTCGGAATAAAAGATTGTAGTGACATAAGAAATGTATTGCATTTATGTGGAAAATAATATATGTGGACTGAAATTTCCGAATCCGATTTGATGATATTATATACAAAACATTAAGTATATAACAACATAAGTACGGTTCGTTTATTGTGGCATTCAGTTCAGTTCAGAATGACTTAGACACTATCGATCTATTGTAATACCATTGCTGAGCATAGTTATTTAACTGTTTTTACTTATAGAACTATACGAAAGCTCTAATAAATTTTACAATATGTTCCAGGTCTAGACACTTCCACAAAAAATTAGAAAACATTAGGTTTACTGCTTTCTAAATTGGACAGTTAAAAAAGAAGCTGCTATATAAGTTGGACAGTTGCAGTAAAAGCTTTGGGCTTACGTTTTATTCCACAATTTCTAAAATACTTCTACTACAATACTTCTACAATTCTATTGGTTAAGCAAACCACAGCTTTAGAGGTTTTTTCTGTTGGAAGACCAGTGATATCTCTGATTTCCTCTCATTATAACATGTTGGCTTCTTGAATCACACTATTTTTCAACAATGATTAACAGGTGGCGATAGGTATTCCAATATCACTTCTGTCTGAGATCATGAAAGGATTAGTGGTACTGAAAGTCTGTCTAATTTGTTGTTAGTACAGGTAACTTTAATGTTACTGTTTTTCGATACTCACATTAGATATATCCTGAGTCATTAAGATATGATATCACTAAGAGCTGACAAGTAATCGTACAACAAGGTTGAAGGTTGAAAAACAAGTACAATTCCAATTAGAACTGTAATCGAATCTACGTAGTAGAATTTAAACTACTTCATTCATCAAAGTCTTTATGTATCTTTTGTTGAAGAAAAAATTCGAAAATCCAGAAAAAAGTACATAAGATAGAAGTTTCAATTAGCTATCTATATGATTTTGACATTTTCGAAAACGTACGGTCTACCACACCTATGGCTAATTTTGCTAAGTATTTGCAAAGTAATTGTCTAAGATCACTGATGATGAGTACTTGGTACTTGAAGCAGTGTTGTATGGTTAGCCAAATTTAAATAAATTAATCAAATTTTGTAGTTGTTGTTTCTACATTACTGTTCAAACCCTTCTAGGAAAAATTATTATTTAAAATAATAATTGTTCACATATAAGAAAATCACTTTCAAACATTCTTTTTTTATTTAAGAAGTGTTTTACATAAACATTTAATATTAAAGTTACATATATAAATTTGCGTTCAGTTGATTTCTGACTATATATTTTCCACTGTTTGCCTTAATTGTTAATAAAATCGAATTTAAAAGTATTTCATTTCATTCGCTTTCTTATCAATTCTGATAATTTGACACTACGACTCACCTAACTTAACTTTCTTTGTTAAGTTTGGTTTAATAGCTCGACTGCGAATATTTCTATGAATTGTTTGCTTGTAGTCGATATCAAAACGTCCATATATAAATATAAAATATAAATGTTTTAATACGAAAAATATTTCATATATATGCGATTTTTTATTTATATTTTACTGCAAATCTTATCAGTATACAAACAAATGCTTTTATTATTAAATTTGTGGGTGCACACTTACCCCCTTCCGGTTCTGAGTCATCAATAAAAATCATGTTGTTTTTAAGAGGTTTGATTTCACGCAAACGGGTACCTATTTTGATGCCGTAATCCAATAATTTCGATATAGAAATGTATAAATTATATTCAATGGAATTCAATGGAATTCAATGAAATTCAATGGAAGTATTAAAGAACACTCGAGTGTGTGTGAAATTTATGGTTTTGATTTTATAAAAATTCCATTAAATTATATATTATATATAACCAACGCGGGTTCTCAATCATAAAATATTATGATTGTGTACTGTAAAAACTTATTTTTTGCTTCGATACGCAATTTTTAAATTTATTTTAAATTTTCACTGTTAAACATAAAAACATATATTTCTTTTATTAAATTTTATTTATTGCACTTTATTTGGTTTGTGTTAAAGAAATGAATTTTTAAATTTTAATTAAATGAAATTTATTTTTTAATTTGAGAGAATATCTTTAAATATTTTTGGATTATTATTCCATATATCTTAGTGATTTATATTGTATTATTTTTTTTTTATTCTGCTGCACTTACACTTAAATGTATTTAGTAATAAGGCGCCACGCTGCTTTCTAAGATATTTTATTTTTATAAATTAAATTTAAAAATATTTTAAGCATTTTTTAAAAGATTTTTCTGCCTTTTGCTATACGCTTCTATTCTCGTTTGATATTAATTTATAATATATATTTTTCACATTTTTTCTTAAGCGAAAATTGATTTAATATTCATTATATATGTGGATAATTTGATCATTATTTCTCATTTTTAATATTTCAATTCAAATTTTCTTTCGCCAAAAAATTCAAAAATTCTTCCGTTTTCACGCGTTTTATTAGCCAGCAACTATCGCCGCGTTGTTTCTTTCTTATTTGCTGGCGCGTTTTGGCTTGTAGCGTTTTTGCCACTTTGTGGTGGCTCGGCGCTGAGCTATACCGAATATTTCAGCTGATAGCGCATATATGGCACGATCTACAATTCGTTTTTTAATGCAGCAAAAATATCTAAAAATAAACAAAAGATACAAACATATTAAAATGTTGTGTATTATACGAGTACATAGAGAAATGCTGACATTTATAATCGGTCGTATGAATTGTGAGAATGAGTATCTTATATAGTATCTTATTATATCATTTTATATTATTTTAAAGTCACCATTAACTCAGCATATATCGTTACATATAAGGTCTGTTCCACGAGTAACTTTGAGTAACACAAGCTCGTCCCACCAGCTTTGAGTAAATGAGAGCATTTGAGAAAGCGTAACATCCCTGTCAAAATTTAAAAATGCTACACAGACTTTACTTTTACATTTTATTTCAAGTAAAATTTGTGTGATGTGTGAATCAGCTGTTTTGATTTGAATTTAAAATTTTGTATTGTTTATTTGCGCGGTACTGGTGTTCTCACCAGACTACACAAAGCAGTTGCATGAAAATCTGTGTAAAGAGCGAAAAATAGCATTTCATTTATGTTACGCTCTCAGTTTGTACTTTACTTGTGTTTTACTCGAGTTTTACTATGAGTAACTATGAGTGAAAGAGACCTATAGTCAAAGCAAAAGTATGAACTGGCATCACTATTCTAAGCTGTCGAATAATATATTTTGACAGATGAAAGCTTGCTTGTAAATTTCATATTCAATTTGTAGAATTGTAATAGTATAAATTAAATATTTTGATATATAAACATTAATCAATTTTCTTAGTTTATGATTTAACCGGTGGGCAGATTCATCATTTTTGAGTGTCATTCAAGAGAGAAAATTTAAGAAAATTTTGGTGAGCACATTATTTAGATTCTCGCCAACATGTTGTGAATGATATTCTGTCACGCAAAAACATTCATTCGTCATTCAAGAGCATATTTACAGTGTTGCATTTACAGTGTGCGGAACACACTTACAGCGCGCGTAAACAACCTTATTCTTCAAAAATTTTGCTTGAACGACAACTCTTGAATGTGAGCATGTTCAAGCAACTTGAATGACATTCAAAATTAATAGTCTGCACTTTAAACAGAAGATTGATGCTGTTGTGTTACTTGTATTATTGGAAACTTTAGAAAGAGGCTTGTTGTTTTCTTATATAGTGTTTAGCAAAAAGACAAGGTGTATAAATTTATATTTGGAACTTGATAAAACGTTATTACTTTTCATAACTGAAATTGTATCTATATTGAACTCAAATCGCGTTAACGATAAGTTTTTGTACAAAGTTAAAAAGAACCCTTACACAATGAGCCAGATAATAAACAATATATTATTAAAAGTGTTTTTATTGTATTTTAAAATAATCCATTATATACATTATACTTTTTTTTTGATGTGTTCGAAACAATTTTGTTGGTTTTACTTTGATTTCCGCTTAAGCCACCTTGCAATATCGATATATTTTGCCAAGGAAAATTATTGTCCACAGAGACTGTCTTTGATATATGGGAATAAGATAACATATAGTTATTGAGTCCTAAATCAAGACTTCAAGACCTATAATCCAGATCTATTAGAAAAATGTTTTAAGTTTTCCAAAGTCATTTGCTTTGTAAAAACTCGCATTGTTGTAATGAAAAATGATCAGTCTTTTGCGGTTGGGATCTTTCATTTTCCTTTTCTTCTATTACTTCTACTATATAACCGACTTGATAATTTGTCTTTAAAGAAAACATATTGCAATAAAAATAAAATGAATATGATATATTGTTTTAGAAATTTTATTTGATGCTGATTATAGCTCATTAGCTACAAATTTTTTTCTTTTGAGTCAAACTGAAAATAATTAAAATTAGTAAAAACAACAGCAAAACACACAAAAAAAAAAAACAATTATATACAAAATTAATAAATTAAAAAAATAAATTTTGTGTTTATCTAAATACTTTGTGCTTTTACACGCCAGAAGTTTATAATTGTTCATTTTGTTTGGCAATTTCTTTGTGTTTTTTGATTTTCGAATTCTTTGACCGCACGATTTTCTATTTCTCGCTTTGTGTACATAAAATTTTATTCGAAATATCTGAGTTTACTTCCTTTTTCTATTATTTATAAAAATAAAAACAATTTTATTTCGAAAATTTTGTACAGAATTTTGTGTTGGTATTTCTTTCAGACTAAAGAGAATACATACATACGGGGTATCGCAATATATGTGACTAGTATAAAACAGTTCTAACAGAACGACCTTCATTATCTTATCTCCTGTGTGGTTTTTATCAGAAGTTCAATTTTCTAATCAGATATTGGTAATTTATTATATGAGTGTATATTGCTTTTTCTACATTTTGACAAAATATTTATACGTTTTTATTGTAGAAACAATATTTGTAAGTTAATGGACAAGATATATTAATGGATTTAAGTTTTATTTCTGCGACACAATTTCTTTCATTTCTTTCAAAAAATTATATTATATGGATATTTGAGTTATAGAAAAAATTTAGATCACTTTATTAGGATCTAATATAAGTTTAACCAATAAGAACATTGTTATATGAGAATACTTCAACGTTTCCAGAACAAGGTTCTACGGAACATTTTAAAAGCGCCATGGTGCATTATGAACAGCGATATATACCGCGTTCTTAAATTGTCTACAGTCGCTGAACAAATAAAAAAGAAAGCAACAACTAAGAAGACTAAAACGGCGAAATGTCTCTGACATGGCATAGAATTAGAATGTAGAGTAATTTGTTTAGAACATTGCTTCCTTAAAAAAAATGTGAGATATCCATCAGCTGATAATGTTGTCACATTCTTCTTTTATGTATCGGACAGGAATACATATAGTTGATTCTTCTACTGTGTAAGGTGCGATTCTAAAATATTCTAATCTCCAGAACTGTAGAACAATCTTATATACGAACATGCGATAATTGACAACTCATTTGAATATGAAGTCATTAAGCTTAGTATGTATTCTAAGAGGAAGGACTTAATACAGGATTGTTAAAAAAAAAATATAAGACCAATCATGTAAAGTTAAACATTCAATTTAAATATTTCTCATAGCACTTACTTTAAAATAATGTGAGAAGTTTTTTTAATGAAGTAATGATCAATATATACAGCCTTTGCGATTACAATATTTAAAGAGCATCCATTAAGTTTACCTAAAATATTCTTAAGCTCAAATTAAAAAAAAAGCTTCTTAACAATATTATTCCTTTTCATCACATTTTTTATAAACTGTAGGTAAATAGCATCCGTGGGATAAGTTGCCTCTTTTATCCATACGACAAGTTTGGTTTTTCTAATAACCCCTTTTTTAATATTTATATAATTAATATTTATTTGAAGATTGTTTAAATTTTTTTTTTGTTTGGCATATATTTTATCTGATCTATTTATGCAAGTATGCTTTTTAATAAGCATATAAATATCTTAAGCTTAGGTATTTAAAAAGACAACAGTAAATGTGAGGTAATAAATAAAATGCATATTAATATTTAATTTTAGATTTAACTCTTTTGCGTTGTTTAAAAGTGAAAATACGGATACATAGAACGCATATGAAAATAATTATTTTGCTCATTAAATCCATATAAAGTGCCTTTATTTACATTATGTTCCGTGCGTTTTTTAAATAAGTCAGATAAGGTAAGATACAAGATTCAAATTAAAGCGTGGTTAGATTTATTATTTACAAATCTAATTTATTTTCTTTATTGTATTTAACTTATTTATTTTATTTTCTTTTATAGTTTGACTAACTATTAAATATAATAATCGTATAATATACATTCCAGGTTTGCTTTTTGCTAACTTTTCGTAAAGTAAAACATGTGGTTCTCACTACTGTAGAAGAGCTTTGATATCTTCAACTTCATATCAATTTCTGGTTTTATACAACAATTATTGTTGTTCCATTTCCTGAAAATTGGTATTTTTCTGACTGTTTCCAAATCACTAGAACGTCTTTCAGGTGGAAGTAATAGTAATTCACCATGCAGCCAAATATATCCTGAGCAATAATAAGTGAGGCAAATATTTCTAGTAAGCGCTTTAGCTAAGTCTCAAATGGTTTGGGAATGTCAGATTTCCAACAATGAGTTGGCTTCGCTTGTTAGTGTTAGTATAGATAACTCAACATACGGATATTTTGGATAACTGCAGACTAACCGGAACGTTGATTTTTGAAATTCGCCAAACATTGGTGTCCCACTCACTCCAAGCTGGCGATAGCTAAAAAG